TGCACAGTTTGGTCTTACATCTTCAACTTGTAAAATCTTCAAAACTCAACCAAATCGCTCAATTTTTGTTTAGAATGAAACTAGAATTGTCAGCTGTCAAATGACGTATCAATAATATAGATACAAATGGCTCTAGCACTTCCAAAAATGAACTAGTGCCATCTGTTGCAAACATGCGTCATGACTTTTCCAAAGACCCAATAGTTTTATCACATGTAGAAATGTTACCATGCTGCAGACAACCTATAGAACAGTTCCATCATGCTACACTTTTATAGGCATAGCTATCCCCTCCTGCCACCCCTCCAAGTTATTATATTTTATATCGTCTATTTGTCCTCTGAAGGTATGTGGGCTTTGCATGTGTTGTTCATCATTGTATCTCTAGAAGAGCGCCTATCAAATACTACAGACCCAATATATAGTTATTGGCTGAATGCCGATAATGAGGCGGTGCTCTCTCGTGAGAAAGGATTTGCAGGGGGAGCCTTTCCTTAGTTTGGGGACACATACAGTTATGTTAATTTTTTTATTTGATAATCTTCTCAACATTTCGTCTTTTCCCTCCCATCACCCTTACATAGTGAAATACATCTGATTCCAGCAGTAAAATGGGTCATTATTCATTGTTCGTCTCAAGTTTTCTGGTGCAAGTTATAGGTGTCATGAGAAGAGGCAGACTAACAATTAATAGCTGATGTACGGATACCTGCCTAGATTTTCATGGGAGCCCAAACTCCTTATTACCTTTACCCTCATTAGTTAGATTTGAATGAAAAACTGACAAGTGCCACTTGTCTCTCTTCATGTTTCCATATGAAATCCCAAATGTAACTCCCTAAGCAGGATATATTAGGGTTGAATTTCTTCATTGTATGTTCTTCCCTTTGCAAATACGTAATATTTTTGGTGTAGAACAGACTGATTCAGTTGTCTTCATCTGTCTTGTTTCCACGTTTGCTTTGAAGGAATGAAGGGTGCTGACTGCGTGGAAGGCAAAGGATCAGCGGGTGCTGTTTCACTGGACAAACTTACAGAAGCGAGCACAGGCACAGCTCCTGCAGTCAGGTCCCTGGTTACTCCACAGTGTGACAGGGACATTCCGTCCTCCGAGACCTCTGTGATTCGTTCTGTGCTGAAGAAACCTGTGAAGCTGTGCCTAGAAAGCCTGCAGGTAAGGGTAAAGCTGCGTTTCCTAAAGCAAACTGGATACAAATTTATTTTNAAACTTTAATTAAAACAAAAACAAAACCTATCTAATTCCTCATGTCCCCACAGCTCCACTGCTACAACCCTAATGCGATTCCTGCCTAGCTCACCAGCTGCTGCTTTGTAACCCGTCTCCTTACTTCCCTCTTTCCCTAATTCATCCACCATTTCCCCGAACAGTCAAAGAGATACATTTAAAGTATAGATCAGATCATTCACGCTGCTGCTTGAAGCCTTCATCACCCTCCCTCACCTGAGCCTTGCCCACCACTAGCCCCATCTCCCTCTCTCATTTCCTGGGCACCCTGGCCTTCTTTCTGCTACATCCTATTTCCACCTCAGGGCCTTTGTTTTTGTTTTACCTTGCTCTTGCAGAATGCCTTCGTCCCGTAATATCTTCCCGTAACTACCACTTTCTTATTGTTTTGATTACAACTCAGATATTTCTTCAGATCAAGTGCTGTTCTGATGCAAACTAAAGAAGCACTTTCAGTTACTGAATCACGCTCCCTTTCATTCCTTTTTTAGTTTCTCAATAGCACCTATTGTACCCAAAACTATATTGATGTGTTTTCAGAATTGCACTCTAGAATAGAACTTTCCCTCTGTGTCCGGAGCCCCTAGAAGAGTTGTGGTACGTGGAAGAATGTCATTGACTGACTGACACAATTCATAAGAGAAAGGCATCAAAACTGTATATTTTGAATGTTTCATTTACTCTGTATATTATTCTCTGTCAGGAAAAAACAGTTTTGACGAGGGTAACCTATAATTTGCTTTAAGCGGCATTTCAGAGTGCTCCAAATTCCTAGGACACTAAACCTCCTGCTATCATGTTCAAATCTGAGTAAAAAAAGTGTATTTGAGGTAAATTGTATGACTTTGAGGTAACCCTTTTCTTTCTCCTTATCTCCTATAGATAAGAGTTGGTAACCAGCTTTTAATGAATGTTATGTGCTGTGTATGTCATAAAGGTTGACATCATCAGCCATATTTGAATGTACAATGTTCTGTTATTATGTAACAGTTTGCTTTATGCTTGGTTTTAACTGTGAATGGAATTAGGGGTGTGAGCAGATTCACCATCTAATATGGCTTCAAGATTTTAACTGATTTTCCTCCATACAATATCTTAAAGGGAGGTAAATTTTTACCTTTTACCTGTTGGTGTAATTTTGTTAATTTCAAGTTCCAAATCACTGGAATTATGTTAGTAGTCTAAATAATAAAGGGGGGAAAAGATCCTGGATGGAGAAATTAATCTAATTTGTTTTATGGGTTAAACAGAACTCTTAAATTGTACATAACTTGAGATTATCTGACACCTCTATCCCTGGTTCCATCACTTTCATTTTGTGAATCTTTGGCTGAAACCCTGTTAGCGAGGTTTGCAGAGAGTTAGTGCGCTTAGGTGCCATCTAAATTTGGCTTTGTATTTTAAGTGAATGGCTGGCTTTCAGCTCTAAGGAGGTAGGGTGCCATGAAATGAGGAAAATTTAGCTGGGGAGAGCCAAAGGAGAAGAGGTAAATGTGAGAGTGGGTGTCGGAACATCTGTGCCTTGTCCTGACTTCCTGGGGAGCAAGGATATATGGATGTGAGATGAGTAATGACACGAGCCTGGATTGAACCAGATACCCTGAGACTCGCCTGTGGCAAAGGCATCATGCAGATGGTTAACAGTGGATATATTTAGCAAACCGTTGGCAAAATTTCCAGATAGGATCTTCCTGTCCCTTCTTCCTTGTCCCGTCTCCAGCATTCGGTGCTTTCTTGTGTTCCCCATATCATCTCTTTGGCTGGCCTCTCTCAAACATTTCTGTGTGAAACTTCTGTTCCTTTCACATTTGATTCACTGAGACAGTCTCAGGTTATGAACTCTTGAGTTATGAAAGAGTCCTTACACCCCTCAGAAACAACCCTTTTAAGAGTTGTTCAGCCCCCAAATAATTGGGGATGTGTTTTCTCTGGGTGCCTTTGTAAAGCGTTTTCCACCTGCTCCAGACTTCCCGTGTCTGGGCTGTGGACTGAGTGTCAGTGTTGACCAATCCATAGCTGCACATGTATACACAGCACAGAGCTCGTCCTCTTTGCTCGGGGTTGGCTGAAAATTAGGGGAGGGGCAGAGGGAGAAACTAAGAGGATGGCAGCGCTGCAAATATTCCAACTGAAAATGCGTGCTTTTAGGGAGAAGAAGCTCTGCTCCCCTAACTTAGTGCCTGTGATCTTCCAAGAGCCTTTGTGTATTTAGTTTCGGATTCAGTCCTTATAGGCCGAGAATTTAGAAACTATGTTTGGTTTGATTTATCATACCCTCTATGTCTCTGTCTTCTAACAGGGCAGCCCTGTAGTGTATCGAAATGTTAATTCTTTGAGAGAACGAATATCCGCCTTCCAGTTGGCTTTTCAGTCCATAAAGGAAAAGGAGAAAATGACGGACTGTCCTGAACTCGCAGAGGCAGAGGGAGAGTTGCAGACGCCAGGCTTGAGTGAGTAGAAAAAATTCAGTCAGTATGGACTTCTGTGTTTTAATTCAGACAAGCCTCTGAGATATAAGGAAGATTTAGTTCCACGGTGCAAACGCAGTCTTTCTGAGCAGAGTTGTATTTTTAAATGGAGCCTAACATTTAAAATTGGGGACATTTCACACACAAAAATCTAGATTTCTGGTTTCCCTTGAAAAAACCTAATAGCAAGCATTCCTGAGCAAGTTGTAACTGTAAAAATGTCAGAGCCGATTAGCTCATTTCATCTTTATAATAAGGTATGTAGCAAATTTTTGAGTGTACACACCTCAATTTTGAGATGATTATTATTAAATTTGGCAAGGATTTTTATGAACACCAAACACCTAACCCCAATATAAACATATCTAATCTGACATCATAACAGCCTGCTGTATTCTTTACCATAACTTTTAGATTATAATCCATTTGGTTATTTCTGTCACCTTTGAGTTTTCCAATCACAAAGCATTTCAAATACCCAAATTAGACAAATCTTTGCCTTACCCTAATCAGCATAATCATACCTCTGGTGCTCTGCCCCCCCAGGGAAGCTACCACATGATTTTGTTTTGGTTTTTTGACCCATGTTCAAGTACATTTCAGCACCTCCTTGCATGCAGTGCACTGCTACTTAAGACAACCTAATTAATCTGCCTCTGTTAGTGCATGATCCACTCTGATGTACTTATTTGCATTTGTAGTTTGTAACTTACCTATTTTTCCATTTTTACCTGGGTTTTATAATATAATGGGTTTTTTAATAACAATTATTATAATTCTGCAGACAATAAAATTCTTTTTCGTAGCCAAGAAGAACTGGGGCACATTGTGGCTGTATTTTTCATAAAATNTTACCTCAACCAAATTTTGATGACAAGGGGGAGAATCTTGTAAGTATGAAAAATTGGAACAAACTTGTTTATATTTTAATCAGATCTCACCTATTCTGTGTGAGCAATAATTATGCTTTGAAATCATGAAATGGACCAAATGATTTGCCTTGGTATAAATTAATGCATTTTTCTAGATAGGTTATTACCGTTTTTTTTCCTATTAAAAACAATACTCGCATGACTCTTCATACCTAGCATATTTCATGGAACCTACACACCGAAGTATGTATCAATTTGGACTCACTGCAATATAAATGGATTTGTTTTACCATACCTTTGTAAATCCTGGGTATTAACCATACTTATTTAAAATACCTTAGAAGAAAAGGGTGACTTGAACATTTTTAGTCTGTTGGTCAGGTTTGTATATTTTTCACCTTTATAGGCCGTTGGAATTTCTTCTCTCGAGAACTGCCTATTAATCTTCCTTACCCATTTTCTATACAGGGACCATCATTTATTCTCATTCTTGCTATACTTTGAAATAAGAGTATTTTGCTTTCAGCCAAGGTGGATTAAAAGGGACCTAATTTATACTCCAATGAGAAACAACTAATAAACTAGAGAAAAGACCCAAAACAGTGGTTGTCAGACACTGAATATCAGGCAGCTCAGGACAGTAATCACTGAAAGGAGCAACAAATGGTGTGAGCCTACCAGAGCCCGCACTTATTTCCAGGGTGCAGCACAGGGAGGGGTTATCTCGGTGGAGCCTGGCAGTCTTCCTGAGTTGAGAAGATGGAGCTGGGGTCTGGAAAAGCGAAGGAGATGGGAGTTCATAGGGCTGAGTGCCAGAGAGGAGAGAGATGCGCAGAGTGCTCTGGAGCTCTACCAGAGGTCCTGCTTGGGCCTTCAGCTCAGTACTGGTTAACAGATGCTTGTGAGCAAACTGCCCAAGGCCAGTGAAAGAATACCCAAATGGAGCAGTGGGAACAATCCCTAGAGCTCACACAGGGACCGGAATAGTCTTCCCACCAACCTGGTAGAAAATTCTTGTAATTCAAGGGGGCATTGGGTACTCCGAAATTCTTGCCCCCTTAGGGGAGTAGAATTAGACTAAAAGCCTAACACAGCTTAAAAGCAAACCTTAAAAGAATCCAGCTTGTAGCCAAGTACTTAACTGCATTACATAACAAAGCTCTAGAATAACAAAAGTAGCACCAAATGATACTATTCAAAATGCCTGACATTCAATATAAAAAAATCAATAGATGTGTTGGAAAGGATGCCCCATAACGAGGAGAAAAGATTTGGGAAATTGAAGATGTAGCAATACAAATTATTCTCAATGAAACACAGATAAAAAAGACTGAACAAGAATGAGCAGACAATCTGGAAACTGGGACAACTTCAGGTGGCATAATATACATGTAATCAGAGTCCCTAAAGGAGAGGAGAGACAGAAGAAACAGAAAAAAATTTGAAAAATAGTGGCTGAAAAATTCCCCAGTTTGATAAAATTATAAACCCATACATCCTAATGTTTAACAAATTATCAGCACAACAAACTTGAAGAAAAGTATACCAAAACACAGCATTGCTTAAAATCAATGGCAAATGGCCTAAAAGGAGCTAGAGAAAACAGATACATGACATAAAGAAGAACAATCACAAGACAGTGCAGCAACTTCTTTTAAAGATGTACTTAGGATTTTTTTTTTTTTTTGCGCTAAGTACATATGAAAGCTGGAAAAATTTATTACTATAGCAGATTAGCATTAGAAGAAATCTTAAAGGAGGTCCTTTAGTCAAAAGGAAAATGGTTCCAGATGGAAATGTGCCTCTAACAAAGGAATGACGAGCACTGAAAATGCTAAATATGTGGGCAAATATAACAGACTTTTTTTCTTACTATTAGTCTCCACAAAAGATAATTTTTTAAAGCAAGAATAACAACAGTGTATTGTTTGGTTTGTAACCTAGGTAAATAAAATATACCCCAGAAATAATATGGCATAAAGGCTGGGAGAGTTTCTTAGGCTATACACAAAGTGGTGTAAGTTAAAGATGGGTACTACAAACCATAAACCAATTTAAAACAATAAAAATGGGTGGGGTGCAGCTAAAGCAGTGCTTCGAGGGAAATGTTTAAACATTAAAGCCTGTATTTAAAAATAAGAGATGTTTCAAATTAATCTCAACTTCTACTTTAAGAAACTAGAGAAAGAAAAGTGAGTTAAAACAAAGTAAGCAAATAAAGGAAATAATAAAAAGAGGGCCGGCCGAGGGGCTCAGTTGGTTAATATCTTGCTCAAGAATGCGAGCGCTGAGCAATAGGGTTGCTGGTTCGATTCCTGGCCCAAGCTGAGCTGCTGCTGAGCTGCCAATAGGTGGCAGGATGACTCAGCTAAAAAAAAAAAGAAATAATAATGATAAATGCAGAAATCAATGGAATAGAAAACAAAAACCATAGAGAAGAAGCATTGAAATCAAAAGATTGTGAGTTAAAAAAAATGTTAATAAACTTCTATTCAAACTATTGAGGAAAAAAGAGACTGCTCAAATTACCAACATAAGGAATGTGAGAGGTGATATAACTGTATATTCTAACATATTAAAAGAATAATAAGGGAATATTATGAAAAACTTTATGCCAGTAAATTCAACTTAGATAAACTAGACGCATTCCTTGAAAGACACTAACTTCCAGATCTCTCTCAAGAAGAAATACATTACCTCATAGCCCTATATCAACTAAACAAATTTAAGTTGTAGTTAAACCTTCCCACAGGAAAACTGCATATCCAGATTACTTTACTAATGAATTCCACTAAACGTTTAAGGAAGATTTAATACTAATTCTGCATACACTTTTCCAAACGAGGAGGTGAGAATACTCCCCAATTCATTAATGTCAGCATTAACGTGATAACCATAATCAGACAGACATAGGAAAAGAAAAATATTCTCATGAATGTAAGATGTATAAAAACAGTATATTGTGCCCAAGTGAAGTTTAACTTAGAGATGCAAAGAAGGTTTAATATTTGAAAAACAATCTCTGATTCACCATAGTAACAGACTAAGACAGAAAACCGTATGGTCATCTCAGTAGATGGAAAAAAACGGTATGACAGTATCCAGGGTTCATTTCTGATAAAAACTGAGCAAACTGGTGACAAAAAGATTTTCTTTAACCTGAAAACTTTTATTTATGAAAAACCAACAGCTACCATGGCAATTACATGGGAAAGAAAATATTTGACATCTGCATTTATATTTCCATTTTACCCTGAAGTTTCCCTGAATAAATATGATGTTAGGTTGTGTTTATTAATGAATTGTCTTACTTTTATAGGAGTTAGGGCATGGGATTTTAAGTAAACCAAAAAGTAACTTATTAGTGAATCATTATAGCTACTTCGTAGTTAGTAAACATGGTTTCATTAAAGATGATTGATAAATATTTTTTAAAAATATTTTTACATCCGATGTTTTGGTTTTACCTTGTTTCTTTTTTAATCATTTAATCATTTATTGATTTCCCATCCTTATGCACATTACAATTCCACCCACAAATATAAGTCATTATTATTTTCTTTTGTGCATATTATATGTCCACTGAATTTAAAGATGTCTAATTTCTGCTTTTTTTTTCTTTGTTTAGGAAAACATAGAACCTCTTCAGGTATCATTTGCTGTTCTAAGTCCTCTTAGTAAGTCTACAGTCTCTGAGACTCTTTCAGGTAGTAACCTTTGTTTATCTTATAATCATAAATGTCATTAGCAATATGTGTGTATATGTAACTTCTATTTTCTTTTTAAATTTTTATTTTTATAACAATGCATACTTGGTTTAAAAAAACCAAATAGTATAGGAAAGCTTCTAAGAAGTCTTTTATCCATGCATTTCCATTTCAAGTCCCAAACAATAATCAGTTCCCACATTTAGCTTCCTTATACGGAAGCTCCTTTTCCCAGTTTGCACAGTTGAAATGTTATGGATCATAAGGGTCATTCTTAAATATCCAACATTGTTCATCCACATTTACATGGCATCTTGGACACTTGTACTTTCCAAGATGTCTGGCTTTTTTTGCGATGGTGACCAGGCAACAAAGATCTCTGCACTTTCCTGACAAACTAGTACTTGGCTAGCAAATATCATGGGAAAAACACTTAGGACCATTATTCATGTCTCTCCCCTGGTTGAAATCATTTAATGGCTTCTCTCTTGGCTGTGGGACACAAACCAAGCTCATTAGCACAGCATCCAAGATATGTAATGTTAGATCTAAAATTTGAAGGACAGTCGATCATGTTCCAAAGCCTATACTCTTTAACACATTACACTGCCTTCATTTATACCATTAAAAGTGATCAGATTAAAAATTTCCTCAACTAGGTAGAATAGTTTTGCATAATCATCATAATGCCTTTTATTGCAATTCCATGGTATAAGATGTAGCTTGGAATAAACGAGTGAAAATACGGATATTTGTTGTAATATGATTTAATCTGTTATCTTAATAAGGTAATCTGTTCTACAGTCTTCATGGAAATTGGTGAAAGTTTCAGGGTGTTCAGTAAACTTAAAGTTTTTAAAAAATTAGTGTGAGGGGCCGGCCGAGTGGCGTGTTGGTTAAGAGTTGGCTTGGGACGCCAGCTCTGAGCAGCAGGGCCCTGGTTTGGATCCCACATGAGGGCCAGTGATGTTGCACCCTCTACAGTTAAGATGGTGAACAACAGCTCCACCTAGAGCTGGGCTGCCGTGAGTCGCAGGTGACGGCGCAGGCTGCAGTGGGGCTAGCCAGCAGCTGGCGTGAGCTTNGCAAATTAAATTAGTTAATGTTTTTTAATCCTGGGTTTCTTATCTGTAAAAGGACAATGTTAGTAGCCACCTTTCAGGGTAATTTGAGCATTAAGTGGGATCATAATGTGAAATTAAGCACTAGTGCCTGGCAAATGAAAAGTACATTTTTTTTTAATCCTTAGGCATTTCAACATACACCTATACCTTCAAATTTGTTTCTAAAGCTAAAATGAACTAGACTACCTTCTATCTACATGGATATATGTTCAATTGTTATTTTAACTATTCCAACAATTTTTCTGATTAAAGAGCTGATCAGGGTCTTTAGACAGCACAGCTCATTCACATCTTCTGTTTATCTTCTCCTCAAGGAGACTTAGCATCTTAATGAGTCATATAACTTTTATTGGCTAACAGTATTAATTACATAGCAAAGATCAAGTCCTACCATTAAGATCATGCGAAGACTTTTGCAGCTGATCTTTTTACTAAGCTGCCCACAAGTTTGGAGGTGTCTACAGTTGGAGTTGTTTGCTAACTTTCCTGGCTTTTTCTAAAAGTTAACATGAACTTTGTTTTATAAGTTCACTTATTTCACACATATTGATATGGGCATTGTATTGGTCAGGAAAATGAAACTGACTCTGGAGATAGTTGATTTGGAGCAGATAGGTTTGTTTGGGGCAGGACCATTTCTTAGAGATGGCGCTGCTCTTGGAATAGGTGCACTAAAGAAAAAGAGTAGCTCTAGAGGACAGACAAGTCAGGGGTTAGGGGGAGCCTGGATAAGCAGGTGGTACTTTGGTGGTGATGGTCACCCAGCCCCTATTGGTCTGCTCTGATCCAGTGGCCCTGTGGTTAGGCTTGCCCAGTCTTGTTCAGAATTGACGTTGTCCAGTCTTCACCAACTTGCCTACTCTCTAATCTTCTTTTGGAGAAGCACAGAGGAACAATTACTACCTTCTTTCCTTATTTATAACTCAAGAATATTCTGATGTAAACCAGAGATTTATACACTTACAAAAGGTGTGGTTCTGAGGATTAGAAGATAAAGCATCCTATTATAGCATATACTTACAGGTATTTGTTTGTCTTTTGTTTTAGTGCAATCCTTGTATCTTAGACCGTTTATGTAGTCCACCTCACCTGATGCCATCTGTAGTACACTGTCATTCTAGCCACTCACAGTTTCTTTAACTTCATTTGCTATATCAAAATCAGGGAATAAAGTTAGCACACATTATGGATTTCTGTTCTTCAATTTTGGCCTAAAATATGGTTTACTAAAGTAATATCTAGGAAACCCTGTTTTCTTTGTGGCTAGTACCATGGTGTTTTAGCTAGAACAATTATGAAAGTTAAAGTACTCTACAATATTGTAGTCTCTACCCTTGGCAGCAGAAGATTCAAAGTTGCCATTCCTAATGATTCTGTGTATGTGTTTATATATGTAAAATTATTCACTAATGTTAATTTTGTTTAGGAACACTGTGACGACCTCCGTGATAATGGGACTCATCCAAGCTTAATCTCAAATCTTGCAAACTGTTGCATAGAACAAAAAGCAGGTTAGAAATTCATGTATATTTTGAGGCCTGAGGATATTACTGTCTTCTTATAAAAAAATCTGATACCGAATATGGTATTTTTAATGATCTACTAATGTCTTGATGCTTGTGAAATTACATGGGAACGAAGAACAGTTTGAAGAGATGGAATCTCTTGGGAGGTGTTTTCAGAATTGGTCTATCCATTTCATCTATCCATTTTTTCTTAATGGTGAAACTCGTGAAGGAAATTAATATTCTAATTTTGTA